TCAAAGAGGTTACGTTGAGTTATCCCCTCTGGAAGAGCCGCCATTCTGTAGAGGTTGAGAAGGTTTCCATCCAAGTCGTTGTTTTCGTAGTACTTGACGTATTCTTCAGCGAGCTTCACTTGGTCTATTCTTCGGGTTTTAGTACCCATTGCCTTGCGAATATCCGATAGTTTCTTTGCACCATTTTTTGACTTGTACTCCCATTTTATCCAGGCAGATAAGAAAGTATTAAATGCACTGTTTGCCTTGATGGACGCCTCCATTTCGTCAAGTTTCTGGTCAAGTCGATCAAGCTTCGCATTGACTTCGTTAAACCTTTTATTTATCAGCGAAGTGATGACCTCCAAATCACTTGGCATGAAGAAGGTGAAGATAAAGCTGGCAATAGCAGAGGCAGCCTGGATAGCCTTAAGTGCACGTCCAACCATCTTACCAACTTTGAGTAACTTCGTTTGTTTCTTGAGAAGTTCTGCACTCTTCAAGCTCTTTGAAGCCTTCGTTGCTTCTTTAAGGGCCTTTTGTTCGTCCTTTACGTGGGCTGCGAGTTGGCTAAGTACAAACTGAGTCGTATCAAGTGCTGTAGATACTTTAGCCTGCTCACCAGGATCTAATTCAGCAGCTGTACAGTCAGAATAGAACGGCAACAACAGGAGCCAAAGTACACACCTCATGCTGAATAGCAAGCGATGATAACACTGAAAAGACACAAAGTTCTTTGATATAAAATAAGTTTGCAGAATTTGAGGGTTTTGCGCTCTTGAAGTTCAAGACATGTATTAGTTCTTCAATGAGATTTTGAAGGTTATTCAGCGGTTTTGGTGCGCGCTTACATCGTTGGATCAAATCAATTATAATAGAGACATGTGAATAATTGTCCAAGGTGTTAAAAAAGGTCTCTATCATTGCAAGCTCACCGTTCGTCTCCCTTCGATGCAAAGGCGCGACTAACGTAACGGCTCGGCAAATATCCACCGATATTCACTTCAGAGAATGATTTAGACCACCCCTCCCCTAGCTACTACGGTATATGGGGGGGGGGGGGGGTTCACTACTATTAGATATTTTATATTAATGAGACGAGACATTGATTTGATATTTGTAGGATTGAACAATAAGTTCTTGATATATGGTTGATAATATCTTACCTTCACAACTAATGTTTAGTCAACTCAGTCCATCTATATAGTACTGCAGGACAACACGGTGTATAATAGGATGAAAACTACTAGCCACAGTTTATATATAGCTGTGTTCTCTACCTTTCATTTTTGAAACTCTTCAGTTGTAAACCACGAGTGTTTCTCTTTGAATCCTTGGCATTTGATCTCTACCTGCTTTCATTTATGTCTATGCTGTTTGTTTGCAGACGTTCTTTCTGATACGTTCTTCGTTGTTTCCTTCAAAGCAGGATGGAAGTCAAACTTCGAATAATTTACTGAATCTTTGAACCTTGATAGGAACGCATGAACTGATTTGACTGTAAAGTAAAATCATGACAATCTTTCAATTAATTAAAAAATAGTCATTCAAATCATTCACTTTCTAACGATTTATAAGTATTATTGTTTCTTTATATGCACGGTTACCCCCACTTTCAGTCTAACCAGATTTTGCATTAATGAAACGAATATTGTAAGATTTGAATTCAGGGCTCGGATTAAAAGTATATTTAGTCTTCACAGATTCGTGCAAAGGTAAAATCATTTCTACAGTTGTAGCTACCATTTTAAAGTTATTTGTGTGATGTATTGTTTTGTTCAAAAGTCGTCTTTTAATAAATAAACATTTTGATGTTTTGAAGTAAAGGCCGGATATGGATGACGACTCAAAATTGAAACGAATATGCTCAGTACAACTTTTGGTTTCTGTGATTCGAAAATTCTCAAAAATTAAGGGATTAAAACCTTCATAGCGAATAAGATTGAAATGATCATTGTAAAATCTATTCTTGCTAAGGGTATTGATATTGATCTCACCCATAATAATATTATTTTCTTTGATAAATGAATTTTATGTAGACACTCTTCAAATTTGTCTAAGAAATTAGAAATCGATAGGTTTTCATAGCAATTTGTAGATAAGACCAATAGATCCTTCCACTTTCAATTTCCAACTTTTTATATGGACTTGTTAGCATATAGCCATGGAATTAAGTCAGGAAATGTTACAGGTTCAATGTATGGTCGGGGGACACAAACTTGTTCAAAAGTGCGTCTTTTAATAAATAAATATTTTGATGTTTTGAGGTAAAGGCCGGATATGGATGATGACTCAAAATTGAAACGAATATGTTCAATACAACTTTTAGTTTCTGTGATTCGAAAATTCTCAAAAATTAAGGGATTAAAACCTTCACAGCGAAATAGATTAAGATAATCATTGTAAAATCTATTCTTGCTAAGGGTATTGATGTTTTTCACGTCGTCCATGTTTGAGGAACTTAACAAAAGAATTGTCAATGAATTCTTTTGTTTTATTATATAAAATCCAATGAAATATCAGGTATTATCATATAATTATCCATAAAATAACTATATATCTCCTTTTGGAAAACTGATATTTTCCCATGTGAAAATATCGTTACCATGTGTATTTAAGCTATAGTTTATAAATAAAAGCTTTTTATAATAACAAAAAGCTTGTTAAGTTGATTTTATGGATAAATATATGATAAACAGAATATTACATGGGCCGCTTCACTCATGATGTAAGTTCTCAAATTGTACCGAATTCTTTACGAAATAAACCAAGTTTGATAGAGAAAATCCAAGTTAAAGGTTATGCAAATGAAGACGAATCTATATCAGATACAAAAATTATCCTTATAGTTTAATTTCTAACATTTAACTTTTCTTTTGTTTATTAACAAAACTACGTAAAAAACATACGCCTCAGTGGGACACCGCGCCAAACGTTTTGATAAACTTGGATGAGTTAACAGAACATTTTGAAGCATTTTTCTTTATCTTTTTTCGATAGGAATTTTTTGGACAAATGTTTGAATGCTTACTGTAAGTGGAACATGGGAGTCGGGGTGTGGTAATAGGACAGGTCGTAATGTAAATCATAAACGAAGTGTCTCCGTGTCCGGCAGCCGAATACGATTTTGAGAAAACTAAGTGTTCGGTAGTCGCGAACATCTCTTTATTTCATAGCCTAAATTATATAGTTAACTTACAGTTTTCTGTTCAGATACAAAATTCTACATATTCTACATATGTATATAAAGCGGTTTTACCTACCTAGCTTCGGCTCTGCTCTCTATGGATATCAATGTATAGAAAATACGCCGTCAAAGCCTGCATGTAGTCTCCCTCGCATCCGTTTTTAGTGTCGGGGAGGGAGCGTTGCGTGATGACCGACACTAAAAACGGATGCGAGGGAGACTAGCCTGCATGTGGCTAATGCCAATTTCAACATCATAAAGATTTCATGACTGATGACGTCATATGTCACATGATTGAAAGATGTGTCAGCAGTGTTCAGCAAAGTATGTCTGTCCAAGTTTGACTCACATTGATCACATATTTATAGAGCAATTGCAGTTTTTTCTGTGGTCACGTGACTGGTGGCGTCATGTCACATTGGCACTGTGTGTAAGCAATGTTCGGCAATGTTTGTCTATCCAAAATTGAATGACAGTGGTCAAGTATTTGCAGAGTTATTACAGTTTATATGTAGTCACGTGATTGGTGACGTCCTTTGGAACTCAGTATCTAATACTCATGATGCAACTGAAAGTGTGTTTGGCTGGGGAATGATTTTGAATAATAAATTGTGCTCTCCTGTCTCAGTATCTTTCCATTACTGTGATGTTATCCTATTGTGATCAACCTGCACCTTGCACAAGTTTATTGTTAAATCTTTGGCAAGTGATATACTGCACCTCATATGGCAATATTCAGCAAAATGCACAGTAGCCTGAATAGCCAGGATCTCTAGCCATGGGAGTCAGAGAACCTGATAAAACGGGTCAACAGGGCTGTATCAAAATTGATGCAGTAATATGTCTGATAGGACAGACCTACCTAGACCAATTAATAATATTGTTGGCGTGTTCTACGTTTTGACATGCATGACTGGCACCAAGGAAACCAGTTGGGAAACTGGTTAATGCTTCTGACATTCTTTGGTTTCTCAGCATTCAGGTCCTAATAACCAAATTAAGGGTTATTAAGTTGATATAGGAAATAGCCCCTATGCAACAACTACTGAACCTTTATTCATTCCTAATTTCAAATATGGGAACCCTAATTATAAAAAGGTATTTTTGTAAATCAGGCCCGAGCGCACAAAGAACTCAAAGTAGGGGCCGCGTACGGGGTGGGGCTACATCAATCCCATTCCACATTTTATCCTTTTCCCATGCTATTCTCTTATATTTTCCAATCTTAGCCCCCCTTCTTTTTCCCATACTAGGCTCTTGCAAAGTGTATATCAATGAATTAATACCGTGCAACTAGTGAATTCTATTTCAGCCTTCCATATTTCTAGCTTCGGCATTGCAAAACTCTAAAGTGTTGAACTAGACCTTACATTTTGCTTTCGACTTCCAGAAACATCCAGCAAAAGACAATGTTGTTTTTTCTTGACAAAATTTAAAGTGTATGAATTACCATGATTTATTATATAGATATCGATGAAATACCAGGTTTTCTCTATTGTCGAAAACTTGATATCTTTCACCAGTGGAAGATACCATATCTTTCACAC